CATGGGTAAACACTAAGTATCAACAATACTTACAAATTCTGTAAGGTTTTATTCCAACATTTATTTCCTGTTTTGAATTTTGACATATAAAGGCATGAGTTGCATGAATACTGGATATCCCTTGTTGCCTCTCCCATGTGGCTGTCTCCTACATCCAGTAAAAGGCACAGAAGTGTTACTTGTTACCTAAGATTCTACAGCCCTGTTGAAACCTGCTGCATGTTATTCAGGCAGTCAATTACTGTTCCCAGATAATTACAAACCTAATTATAAAATTGCAGCTCTGCAGCTGAGTGCTAAGCCCAAGCTTCTCCTGACCCCACACTCTCTATGATGTCGTCCAGGGTTGCACTTACACACAGGAATGTACCACGGTTAATGGACATTACAATTATTTCCAATCATATACTCTCCAGAAAACCACAGACTCACCCACTGGTAATATTTACTGGCAAGCAGTCAGGAGTAGGAGCCTTATTTTACCCTCTGTAAGATTCGGCACTGAAGCCCATAGTAGCACCTATATGTACCATTTCCACCCTTCCCCTGCCACAGTCTGTACTCCCAGTGGAAATTGAAGCTCTGAGCTTCCCAGCTGGTACAGTCTAGTTCCAGGCCCCAGCATCAGGAAATGATTCTGTTTTCTTGAAAGTCGACTCTGTGATTACACAGTCCTGGGAGTCTTTGATTAAACTCTGGAAGGAACAAATGTGATAGGTCAAATTACATTTTCGTATGGGCGTATCTTTCTGGAACTGACTACAGTTGATCATCTTTGATATTTTAGGTGCTGCAAGATAGATTTAGAGGCTGGCAAAATAGCAGTCTGATTGACTTCTTCAATGATTATGCCAACTTGTGTTTTGAGAAGTTTGGAGACCGGGTGAAACACTGGATTACTTTCAATAACCCTTGGGTACGTTTCATGTTGCAGTGTGATTTAATTTCATTAATATTAAAGATTGCAGTTTTATATATTTCAGCTGATTTATTTCCTGTTCATGGATTGAGATTTGCATCTGTGTCTAAGGTATCGTGATGATCAATTTAGATCTACATATCCATCTTGGGTACAAAAATCTTTACATTCTGGGGTTTCTAAGGGTATTATGTTTTCAGTTTATCTATCAAAGTACAGGTGGATATTAGCCTGTGGCACTGTCTTCTTCCTTCCAATTATAGCCGATATGTTCTTCGGTCATATTCTCTTAAACTGGCCTTTAAACATTATTACGAACATCTCCCACACCACTATGTATGAATGTCTTCCTTCTGAAAAAAGGTTGGAATAGCTGCTTATTATTCCTGGCAAGTAATGGTAGATCTTCTGCAATGCACCTCCGGTTGCATATAAACTCAGAGGTAAGTTTGTTTGTCACTATCTCTGCCCTGAGTTTCTCCTGTTCACAATTTTTTTTACATATACATAACATATACACATGCCTTGGTATTGAAAAAGTTGGGAACCAGTGGTCTAGTAAACCTTCTCTGAACTGCTTCCAATACTTTAACATGCTTCAGCAAGTATGGTGTCCTGTGCAGCCTGCAGTCCTCTAGTATGATGTAATACACCAATAACGTGAGTATTTTTTAACTCTAGATTATTTATTCATTGAACATAAATTCCTTCAGCTGCTGAGGTGGGATTTGAACCCAGAGAGCATTAATCAGGGTTTCTGAATTATTTGGCTAAGCTTTCCTTGTCAGATTCTTATTAGGTCATGTTTTAACCGATGATCAAAGTCTTGGATCTCTAAAACTTGGAAACAGAGTGTGGTAACTTTGCAACAGCATTGTCAATTTCCCCCGCAATGTTCCCAAAAATTAGTTTAATTTATGTGAACAGTTTTATAAGTAAATGAAATAACATCTTCCAAACTCAATAATTATATTTCATACTCTGTACTGAAGTGGCCTGACTGCAGTCTGTAGCCTATCTGTAGTCTTTCTCTATTACTCTCTAGTTTATTTTGTGTAAATTCTGTCCAACAAGAAAGAACTGCTTTTGGACTCGTTGATCCTGGGTCAGAACACCCAAGAATTGCTGGTACTGGCAGACTGAGATACCCGTATATTGACAGGAACACATGCACATGTTTAATCTGAGACATGCATGGCTCTGTGATTGGCAAATACATCACCATGGAGACAGACATCTTGGACACTCTAGTTTTTCACTATCTCTGATATAACTTTACTTTTGCTGCCAGGATCTTTAGGATCACCAGAAAGGACCCTTTCTCCCTGTGTTACAGAACAAAACCACTCCAGTTTTATTGATACAGTTGGGCCGGAACTGTTAAAAATTTTCCTGTTAAATCACACATTGAAAGACAGCACAACTTGCCGAGAGTGATCCTGATTAGTTCAGGAGGGGAGAGGTTTGAAAAGCAGAACACAAGCGCAATCTCTGAAAACCAGCAATGTTGGGATTTTGGGAATGACTGGAGTGGAGTTTATTTGAGATTTCTTCTTATTCTACCTCTGGATAATTGGTAATAAAGCCTAAAATATAACAAAACTGTGTTTGATAATAAATTTCCACTTTCTATTTAGATGAATGTTTTCCCACCCGTCACCATTTGCCAGTCTTCAGTTCAAAACAGGCAGATATCCTGCTAATGGTATCTCTGATTTTCTGATTCAAGATATTCACCAACTAACCTTTGCTGATAGCTGAAGAGAATGATGATTTTTCTTCCCCTGCTGTCCTCTTGCCCTTTCCTCCAACTGATTGCAGACAGAAGTGAGATTGGGAAGCATGTGCCTGTCTCCCATCTTTGTGCTTTACACTCTGAACCTCCAACATGGGACATTAACAGGATCCCATCTCCGAAGGGGGTTCTGTAGGATAGTAGCAGTAGTGGGAACTGATTCCATTTGATTATAAAGTGTTGTATTTTTCATTGAAGTCCACAGCTGTGGAAGGATATGAAGTGGGAGAGCATGCACCGGGGGTGAAGCTGAAAGGACTAGGAGCTTACAGAGCAGGACATAACATCATTAAAGTAAGTATCGTACAATTTCACAATATCAAGAAATTCATCATTTATTGGAAGGATTAAAAAGAATTGTGTATGGACAGATCCTTTCACGTCCTCAGGACATTCTAAAGTACTTCAAAGCCAATGAAGTACAGTCAAAATTGTAATGCAGACAAATGTCTGAGACAACTAGGACACAGCAAGGTGCAACAGACATGAGCAGATCATATGTTTTTGTATGTGGCTGAGGGATGAATGTTACCAGAACATAAGGAAACCACCTCTGCTCCTATTCATAGGATTTTTTGCACAAATAAATGGGACATTTTACAATGTAGCAGTCCCTCAGTGTTGGACTGAGATGTCGGTTTTGATTATGAGCTCCTGTTTCTGAAGTTTATTAAACACTGTGTTTTGAGAATTACCATTGAGCCAAGCTCACTTGTGGACTTGTACAATGTACCCTTTCAGGCAGGGCTCAGTAAGGTGAGAAATCCAACAAAAAAAAATGTATGGATATAAAATAGAAACAAACCATAATCTCATTCATACTACAAGCTTTGGCTTCTATTTCACAGGCTCATGCAAAGGCTTGGCACACCTATGACAAACTTTGGCGCAATCACCAAAAAGGTAACAGAGTTATCAATTCAGATTGAACCAAATCAAACAAAATACAAACGTCTCTTACAGACTCCACTGCAATTTTACATATTGTTTAGACTGCCAAGTTTCTATTATTAAGATTACATGGTGAATTGTATCATCAGCTTCAAAGGGTTTTTAAGAGATTTTAGTGATACCTGGATGTAACAAACATCACGGAACCAATACAGGTTGAGGTAAGTCGTGTATAAATATAAGTAAATATTCTCTCTAACAATATTGGAACAGCAAGGTCAATTATAATTGTTCAGTTCCAGTATGTCTTATTTTAGTTCGAGCAGCCCTGAGGGATTTGGATGATATGGAGAGAGAACAGGAGCTGGGGTTGTTCTCCTTGGATCAGAGCAGGTTAAGGGAATTTTAATGAACATTTTCAAAATTATGAAGTGTTTAGAGTAAATAGGGAGAAATATTTTCACTGGCAAAAAGGTCATGAACATTCATTTCAAGACAGCTAGAACATAAGAGCAGAGATATCCTGCTGAGGCTGTATAAGGCTCTGGTCAGACCGCATTTGGGATATTGCGATCAGTTCTGGGCCTTATTTCTAAGGAAGGATGTGCTGGAGTTGGGGAGGGTCCAGAGGTTTGCAAGAATGATATTAAGTACGAAGGGCTTGTCACATGAGGAATGGTTGAGGACTCTGGGTCTGTACTCAATGGAGTTTAGAAGGATGGTGGGGTGGGGTGGAATTGGAGGGGGTTTGATTGAAACTTAAAGGTTACTGAGAGGCCTGGATAGAGTGGACATGGAGAAGATATTTCCACTAGTAGGAGAGACCAGGGCCTAAGGGCACAGTCTCAGAGTAAAGGAACAATCTTTTAGAACTGAGATGAGGAGGAATTTCTTCAACCGGAGGATAGTTAATCTGTGGAACTCATTGCTGCAGAAGGCTGTAGAGGCCAATTCATTGAGTGTCTTTAAGACAGAGATAGATAGGTTTTGTAGAATGGGTATGAGAAACATATCAACCATGATCGAATGGTGGAACAGATGGGCCGAATGGCTTAATTCTGATCCTATGTCTTGTGATCAGTAACCAGCCATCATAGATTTAAGACAGTTAGCAAAATAGCAGAAAGAAAATGAGAATTTTATTTTAATACATTGAGTTATAATCTTGAATGTGCTGGCTAAAAGGCCAGTGGAAGTAGATTCATAACCAACTTTTAAAAAGAAATGGGTTATTTAATTGAAAAAAAAATCAGGGTTATGAGGAAATCACAGAGGAAATAGGACCAATTATTAGCTTTTACAAAGAGGTAACCAAAGTATGAAGGGCCAAATAGTCTACTTCTATGGTCTATAGTTCTATGAAGTAACACTCTATATCATAGAGTTCTACCAATCACAACAACAAAGTAAAACAATTACAACAGATACATGTATATTCTCAATGCAATATAATTTTGCTGTTGAGTCTAAGTTATTAAATATTCTTTTCATATGAAAGGATTGGTGGGTATTTCTATCACAAGTGAATGGGGAGAGCCAGTCGACATTACAAGTCAAAAGGATATCGAGGCTGCTGAGCGATACATCCAGTTTAATCTAGGATGGTTTGCCAACCCTATTTTCAATGGGGACTACCCTCAAGTTATGAAAGACTGCATTGGTAAGTGTAAATACAAGAGGGGATATTGTGGGCATATGCACTAATTACACAGCATGATGAGACTCAAAAGGTGAATATTAAACAGATACTAGGACTTATAATAACAGCAAATTAGTCCAGGGGCTGAAAATCTAAAATAACAATAGAAAATGCTGTAAATATAATACAAAGTTTCCAGATTTGGTGGAGAAATGGAGTTGACATTTTAGGTCACTTATTGTTCATCAGAACCAATTATCAAAAACATTAACTCTATCATCCTCTGCACAGAGGCTGTTTGACCGCTTGAGTATTTCCAGCATTTTCTCTTTTTATTGCTCAAGTTTAGAATTCTGGCTTTCTGGTGGATTAGTTAGGTGTTAATTAGACACGCACATTATATAATCCACTTTATTTTAGAGAGAAAATCTGAAAAGGGGGTTATTTTGGGGTGTAATTCTCCTTCCTATTTGTGTCACAGGCTGAATGAGTGTGTTGTGGATGAGCCTATTCTCAGCTTGCCTAGCATGACAGCACAGCTGAGTAACAGGACTCACTGTGTGGGCACTGATAAGTACCACAGTGGGTGGCAACTTGAAAGCCCGTTTCCACAAAGATCTCCGTTAAAGGTTTCTACATATCAAATATGTAAAAAGAAATGCAAACATGCCTTTGAGCTCAATTCCAAATATGTCAGTTGGCAAAAGAGAAACTGTTTCATAATCAAGTCCTAGCAAGTATAGAATTGCATACACAAAAGAAGGCCTTGTATTTATTTACTTACCATGTATGTAGAAATTATGAACTTTTAGTGAAGGAACCGTACGCAATCTGTAACATACAAACTTTCAAACATCCATCTTATGGTCAGGATTGCTTCTTGCAACTTACACACAGCTCCATAAGACATTTAAATTACATTAGTGCAGGTGAAGGAGATCTTATCTGAAGCTGAGGCAGGTAAGGCTGTATTTTAGGAGGTCACAGTGTGTCTAATATCAACAACTAGAAGCAATCTAGAGCAAAGTCAGAGCAGTACGAGATCTTGTACATCTGAGATCTTTGCTGTGCAGGAGTATTGGTATTCTTCAAAATCTGTAATCCTTATACCTTGTTGTTTGTTACATTAACAGGGAGAAAGAGCTCACAGGAAAGCCTGGACAGCTCCAGGCTGCCAACCTTTACTCCACAGGAGAAACATTTTATCAAAGGCACCTCAGACTTCTTTGGGCTGGGTCACTTCACAACCCGGTACATCACTCACAAGAGCTACCAATACAGTAAAGGGCCAAGTTATTATACAGACCAGGACTTGGCAGAACTTGTTGACCCACAGTGGCCTGATCCAGGTTCTGAGTGGCTGTACTCTGTACCTTGGGGTTTCAGGAGGATTCTGAATTATATCAAGGTATTTCAGAGATATATAGTTTAATATGTTGTTTCCTCTGCCGCTATAAAAAGTGACTTGCATTCGAAAAGTGCCTTCCACAACATCAGGCTGTCCCATAGCTCTCTGCAAGAACATCTCAGTCAGTCCCATGCCCCTCTTTCCCTGTAGCACTGCATGTCTTCTCTGCAGGTACATATTTATTTCCATTTGAAAACCATAACTGAATCTGTCTCCACCACACGCTCAGCCACTACATTTCAGACCCAAATTGTGTAACATAGATTTCCCTCGTGTCTGGTAGCCCTTTTGCCAATCACCTTAAATCACTTTCCAATATCCCCTCTAGGCCACGTGGCTTTGTAATCACGCAGATGTTCCCACACTATCCAAGCATGTCAGTTCCTTTAAAGCTGCATGTGAAGTTTTAGAGGTCCCACACCCTTAAGTGAACATGGCAACACTCAACAAAAATAAAAAATAGCCAGGATGTTGGTTCTGATTCATAGTTATCTCTCAACCAACATCACTGTGTTTTTTTACCACGTGCTGTTTGTCAGTCCTTGTGACACACAAGTTGACTTCATTGATGTTTCTTTGTTATGATAGAGACCACATTTCAAGAGAATTTAATTGCAACGTACTTTGGGTCACCCTGAGATCCTGAATAGCACTACATAAATGCAAGCCTTCTTTATTATCTAATTACATTTTCTGTAACCATCCAGCATTTACTGTCTTCTAGGTGAATCCTACAGTTAATTATTAAAATTCTATTCCATATGTGAATAAGATTCAGCTTTTACCAGCTTTTCCATTCACTAATCAATTTTGATCTGTTGCTCAAGACTCATTTACAAGCTCCAGCCTCCGGCATGAGGTACAGAGCTATGTGATTCAGCAGCTTTCCTATCTTTTGTCTGTCGAAAGGAGGTTCAGTTAAGGTTTGGAACTCATATGAGAAACTATTTACGTAAACTGCAGTTTTATTAAGTGTAGCCTTCACGTGCAGAGCACAGAGACGAAAGATAGAAGTAACTTTTCATTCTTCATTTCTCGATATTTTGCATGGAAATATTTGAAAGGATAAAACACAACTTATCCCAAATTATGTACCAGGTATATACAAAACAAAGACTTAAACATTGTGGCTAACTCTAAGCTTTGACAATATTTGGGATAGTGTTGTAACCAAGAGTCTCAACTGAAATCATCTTTTCTACATTTAATTCAAAATTCCAGTATTCAGGTTCACCATCACCTCAACAACCTCTCTCTATCTACTTTTCAGACCCCTCAAATTTCCTATCAACGTTCACGTCTCCAAGGAGAGGTTTCAATTTCTCTAATCTTTTCAAGTCTCTGTAGTTCCTCACACCGGAACAATTCTTCCAAATGTTTTCTGAACCCTTTCTAGTGCCTTCACATCTTTCTCAAAGTGTGGTGCCCAGAATACAAACACATAAACAAGAGTAGGCCATTCAGTCCTTCGAGCTTGCTGTGCTATTCAATAAGATCATGGCTTATCTGATTTTAACCTCTGCTCTATATTCTTCATCTCCTGAGTCATCTTTCATCCCCACATTACCTACCTCTGCCCTAAAAATATTTAAAGATTCTGCATCCACTGCCTTTTGAGGAAAGGAATTCTAAAGACAATCAACCCTCTGAGAAAAAGAAAATCTTCATCTCCCCAGTTGAGGGCAGACCAGTATTTTATACAGGTTTGTCATAACTTCCATGTTTTTGTACTCTATGCCTTTCTTGATAAATCCCTGGATCATATATGCTTTATTAACTGTGTTCTCAGTTAACTGTACTGCCAACAGAGAAGGATGTCAAGATTTTCACTTCGTAAAGATGAACAGCAAAATACGCCATGTCAGATGATATATGTTGCCCATATCCTTCTAGTTGGTGATTATGATGAAATTGGGAGCCTACTAAAGAAATCTTGGTGATTCACTTCACTGCATTCTGTTGTCAGTACAAACATTGGCCAGTATGAGGCATGGCTTTTTTTTAAAAATTGTCTACAGACTGGAGTGAGTCACAAAAGCTCAGGAGCAGCAACAAGTCACTTATGGAAGTATCATGTTGGCTTCCTAACAGCACTACTGTGTGACATTGAACTAAAGAAACAAATAAAGAGCTTATCAGAAAGGCATGACATTAAAATCTCCTGTGATTAATTTACAATATGATCAGAGACGTCAGATGGGCAAAGGTAGCCTGGATGAGGAGTTTCAGAGTGTTCTCAGGGTAGTTTCTTAGAACAGCATGTTCTGGTTCTGATCAGAGAGCAGAATATACTGGACCAGGTATTGTACTACAAGATCAAATTAATTACTTCATAATGAAGGCAACCCTAGGTAGCATCAATCATGGTTGAATTTTACATTTAGTTTGAAGCAGAGAGGAGCGGGACTGAGACTATTTTCACAAATGTAAGATCAATGATGAAGGTATGGATTCAGAGCTCAAGTTAAAAAATAAGCCAACACAGATGCAGTGGCAGACATTTAAGGAGATGGTTCAGAAATTATAGAAGATACGTTCCAATGAGAAGGAAAAATTCCAAAGGACAGATCCACTATCTGAAGTTGATTAGCAATTTTACAGATAGCATCAAACTTAAAAAGCATACAATTCTGCAAAGATAGATGGCAGAATTGGATAAAATATTAGAAACAAAAAAGGATGAACAAAAATTAAAAAGGGAAAATTGGAGTACAAGAGAAAGCTATTCAGAAATATAAAAACCAAAAGTCATATTTTCTATAAGTATTTAAGGAAGAAAGTTGACAAAATGAACATTGGTTCTATTGAAAAGGGAGACTGAAGAATTAATAATAGAAAATAAGTAAAAAGCAGATGAATTGAAGAGGCATTTTGCATCTGTCTTCTCTAGAGAGAATACAAGTCACTTCTCAGAAGCAGCAAAAAATCAGGAAATGGAAGGGAGGATCTCAGGAAGACCACAATCACCAGAATAGTCGTATTGAGTAAATTCTTGGAGTTTTGGGCTGATAGATGCTGGGTCCTGATGGATTTCATCTAAGGGTCTTAAAAATAAATAAAGTATGATAGTTGATGCATTGGTTTTAACTTTCCAAAACTCCCTGGATTCAGAAATGGTCACATCAGATTGGAAGATAGAGAATGCCTTTATTCAAAAAGGGATGGAGGCAGAAAACAGGAAACTACAGGCCAGTTAGCTTAACATCTGTCATAGGCCAATCATTAGAAGCTTTTATTAAAGAAGTTATAGCATGGCACTTGTATAAGTTCAAGGCAATCAACATGTTTTTGTGAAAACGAAATCATGTTTTATCAATCTATCAAAGATCTTTGAGAAGGCAATGTGCTATGGATAAAGGGGAACCGGTGGATGTACGGTACTTAATTTCTACAGACATTTGATACAGTTCCACATCAAGGATTATTGCAGAAAATAAAAGCTCACTGTGTAGGGTGTAGCATATTGGCACGAATAGACTAGCTGGCTAACAAGAAACTGCGATATAAACGCATCTTGTTCAGGTGGGAACGTGTAATGAGTGATGTGTAACAAGAACCATGCTGGGAGCTGAACTATTTACAACTTATATAAATGACTTAGATGAAGGAATGAAAGGTTTGCTTAGCAAATTTTCTGATGATGCAAAGATAGGTAGGAAAGTAAGTTATGAAGATGACACAAGGTTACAGAAATATATAGTTAGGTTAAATGAATGGGCAAAGATGTGGCAAATGGAGTATAATGTGGGAAATTGTGAAGTTGTCCATTTTGGCAGCAAAGTTATGAAGGAAAAAATTGCAGAGCTCTGAGATACAGGGGGACTTGGATGTCCGAGTGCAAGAATTGCAAAATGTTAGCATGCAGGTACACTAAACAATTAAGAAGGCTTATAGAATGTTATCATTTATTGCGAGGGGAATTGAATACAAAAGTAGGCAGTTATGCTTCAATTATACAGGGCACTGGCCAGACTGCATCTGTGTACAGTATTGGTCAACTTATTCAAGGAAGGATGTAAATGCTTTGGAAGCAGTTCAGAAAAGGTTTATTAGACTAAAACCTGGAATTTGTAGGTTATTTTACAAGAAAACATTGGACAGACTAAGCTTAGAAGAGGCAACTTGATTGAAACATAAAATCCTGACAGGTGTTGACAGGGTGATGTGGAGAGGATGTTTAACTATGGGAGAATCGAGAACATAGAGGTCACTTGAAAAATCAAATAGATGATGTGCTTTTCCTCTTCTTAAGAGGGTCTAGAATCTTTGGAACTCTGTCCTGGAAAAGGTGGTGGAAGCAGAGTCTTTGAGTACTTTTAAGGCAAAGGTAGATTCTGATTAAACAAAGCGTTGAAAGCTTTCAGGAATAGGCAGGAATGTGAATTTGATGTTACAACCAGGTCAGCCATGATCTTGTTGAATAGTACAGCTGGTTCAAGGTACTGAATAGCCTACTCCTGCTCTTGATTTGCATGCCTGAAATACAACTAAAATCACAAAAACACACAAATTATCTTTATTAATAATAAAATGAACAGACGATTTTAAAAAATTTCAGGAATAAAAATTAAGATACTTATTTATGTTAATATCTTAGATTCAAGGTGCTGAAGTACACAGGCATCTAGTCCTGCTACAGGTAAACTTGGAAAAAGAATCAGAAAAGGTCTATATCATAAAATGCTTTATAAATGTACAAATATTTATAGTTCTCCAGTGATTTCTCACATTCTACTACTAAGATCTTCAAGTGCTCAGAATATAGTGTATTACTTAGCAGTCAGAGTTGATTTTTGCAAATGGAGCAGTCAATCTGTGCACAGTAAAATTATTGCAGTCATTTAAAAAAAAAATCAGTGTTGGTTGGTGATTTAAAGATTTTGTGGTAGATTTTTCATAAATCACATGCACAATTTATTTAACTTTACACAGGAAAACAAAACACAATGCTCCTTACACAGACAAAAGCAGTCAAAAACGGGCAGTGGGGATGGAATTAAAGAAACAGGACACATTAGGGAGCACAAGAGCAGATGGGAGAAAAACTAGGGACAGTTCAGGTTCAGGGTAGAGTCAGCAGTTGGCCTGATTGGCAGGGATGAGGGGAGGGAAGGAGCAACACAATGAATAGTCTCAATCTTGACGGCATAGAGGCCAATAAGCTCGTTGAACATGCTATTAGAAATGAGAATGGAGGATGCAGTAGAATGAGGCAGTCGGTAGCAAACAAAGCAAGTGGGATCATACATTGCTTTCCAGAATGATTCTGGGGAAGTGAGTAGTTTTCGCAGAGAATGAGAATGTTATCCAGAGATCTTGCACAGAGAACTAAAGTTACAGTATGGTAAAGGCTGTTCCCTTGAGGAGGGAATGACCAGCTTGGGAAGATCTGGCTAAGGAAAAAGTCGAACATGAAAGTAAAGAATTAGTTGAGCAAATTGAGGGCTGCAATGGCATCCTGGAGAATGGAGAGTCAAAGGCTAAGCTGCCGGGAATATTGTAAGCTAATTCTGAATATGAGTTGTGAGGGATTTATGCAGTTTGAGGTTACTTCAAGATGATAGTGAGGCCTTAAGGCATGTATATGATCATACAGCAACACACTTCCAGAAGGGTTTTATTTTCTGGCTCCCATTCTTCCTCTTACAACTTATTCTATTTAAATACTGTATATTAAAATTATTGCAGTTTGTAAGAAGCTGAAACTTGATCAGTTTCAATTTCTTTCTCATTATCTTACTCTATTTTGTTTCAGAGTCGATATGGAAACCCGAGGATATATGTGACAGAAAATGGAGTATCTGAAAAAAACCAGTGCACTGAGCTGTGTGACAAGTGGCGAATGCAGTACATGAGTAATTATGTTAATGAGATTCTTAAAGGTGACTGACTTAATATGACCCATTCCACAGTTAATTATTTGGGGCAGGGGCAAGAAATAGTGCAGGTCATGGGCAAATGGCCCAATTCTTTCTTCAATACTACTGATATTAAAACACAAAAAAAATGTAAATGCAGCAGTCTGAAAGTAGCTCCACAGCCAATACATTTATCAACCTTTCTCCTTTAGAAAATAGGAGTAGGCCATTAGACCCAGCAAGCCCACTCCACCATTATCGTAACATCATACTCCCACTCTCTCTTCATTCCCCCCGACACCTTTAGTTTCTAGAAATCTATTTATTTCATATGATTGTATATACATATTCCCTCCACAGTCTTCTGTGATAGAGAATTCCACAGGTTCACCAGACTCTGTGAAGAAATTTCTCCACATCCAAGTCCAAAATGGACTACTTTATATCCTGAGATTGTGACCCCTTTATCTGGCCTCTCCAGCCAGGGGAGGAATCATCCCTACACCCAGTCTGTCCAGCCACGTCAAGATTTTTATGTAATTCAATGAGACCCCTTCACATTCCTCTAAACTCCAATGATTACAAGCCCAGTGAACACAATGTCTTCTCATACAACAAACCTGCCATCCCAGGTATCATTCTGGTGAATCTTTGCTGTACTCCGTCTAAGGCAAGTACATTTTCTTAGGTAAGGAAACTAAAACTGCTCGCCATACTCCAAGTGTGGTTTCACGAAGACCACATACAGCTGCAAAAAGACATCCTTGCTCTTTTACTTAAACACGCTTGGAACGATTACCAATATATGATTTGCCTTCCTAATGATTACTTTCAATAGCTGGCATACAAGGACACCCAGGTCCTTTTGTAAATCAACATTTCCCATTCTACACTCATTTAAATAATACTCTGCTATTCTGTCTTTCCTAAAGAAGTGGACAACTTCACATTTATCCACGTTATACTGCACCTGCCACCAATTGCCTACTCACTCAACTTGTCCAAATCACCTCAAAGCCTCTTAATGACCCCCTCACCACTCTCACTCCCAGCTAGTTTTATATCACCAGCAAACTTGGAAATATAAAACTTAATTCCCTTATCAAAATCGTTGATATATACTGCAAATAGCTGAGTCCAATCACTGGTCCCTGCTGTACCCTTCGTGACAACTCCTCCACTCCGAAAACAACCCATTTATTCCTACACCCTGTTTTGTCTGTTAACCAATTCTTAGTTCCTGCTAGTATATTACCACTTATTCCACGTGCTTTAATTTTGCAAAATAACCTGTGATATGGGACTTTATCAAAAGCTTTCTGAATAGTGCTTTACACTCATGGAATTGCTCTGAATTTCTGGAAATTTTGGATTGTCAGATTTTAAAACAGAATGTGATTTTGAAATTTGTTGCAGCTGTTAAGGATGGTGTTAACGTCAAGGGATACACATTCTGGTCACTGCTGGATAAGTTTGAATGGGATGAAGGATATTCAGAAAGATTTGGGTTATATTACATCGATTTTAAAAGCAAGAATAAGAGGAGGTACCCCAAAGGCTCGGTTCAGTACTACAGGAAGATGATCAGCTCAAATGGATTTCCGAACCAAAGAGAAGTGAGTAATAACTGATTTTTTTTTTTATTAGAGCAAAAATAAAACTTATTTTTGATGAGAGGTGACAAATAGCCAACATGAAGCTTCAAAAACAGAAACCAGGGCATGAACTTAGAAGGAAGTTTAGATTTAAAAGTTGTATGCAGAAGCTGATAAGTGTAAGAAGTGACTGCTCATGGAGGCAGTAGAAACGAATAATGTGGAAAACTGAAGGGAAGGTTTAAGACTGTGGACAACTGATATATGTGGTCATGTATTTTGCCATGTTTATTTAATAATTACACTGCGGCCAACACAAATTTGAACAAGCTCTGTCAATTGCAGTTTTGATATATTTCACTTTGAACACAGCAGGTAGGTTCAAAAATTATTTGAATAAAAGGCAGCTATCAAATGAAGACACTAACATTTTAATCCTGAAAATCCTACAGAATTACTAAATAATCACTGCTTTACAGCCTGTGTCCCAGTTTCTGCTGTAGAATAAAGAAGGGATAACTCCTGGCAAAAATAGTAAAGAATGCACAAAGATCCAATTTATTTTTAAAATAAGACATATTGGCTACACAAGTTTGAACACCAAATATTTCGTAGTTCCAGGAAACAGTTCACCTCCGATGTTCAGGTGCTTTTTCCTTTAAACAGACCCTTATATTCAAGACAGTACACAAACAATCTTTCTGCTATCTTCCGCTAGATTGAGAATTGGAAACGCAAAGCTGCAGAGACCTGTTCCATCACCAATGCACTGCTTGCTGCAGGTATGTGAGTGACGTCATTCAATTTTCTTCAGGAACAAAGAGAGTCCAGAGCAAGAAGAAGCATTTCAGTCCATCAATCCTAATATGAGCTGAGCCCATGTTTAATAATTTCACCATAATCTCTTCATTTGCAACCATCAGCTCCTGTATTCCATAAAGGATCCCTAAAGGAGACCTGGTCAGAGAAAACAAAAATTAAGCAATTCTATTGGCATTTCTTTAACTCTTGATCATTATCCCAATGAACAGAAAATAAGTAGCATTAATATCAAAGTATCAAATTTAAATTCAGTCTCTCAGAGTAATAAAATCATTTTACAAGTTTACTCACAGGCTTTTTAGCCAGTATTCTGGACAGTGTGCTGACACGATAGAGAAATTTACTCCTTTAGCATCCTCAGTGTCATGTGTGGTGACTGTTATGATGTGGAAGGAAGCCATTTGGAAAATTGTATCTGCACCAGCTTTTCAAATGAGAATCAATACCAACTGACAGCTTCCTGCTCTCCTTCCTTACTTATTATTCTATCCAAATAATTATCCAGTACCTTTTGAATGCCTCAGTTGAACCTGTCTCCACCACAATTCCTGGCAGTGCATTCCATGTCCTAACTACTGGCTGAGTGAGAAAAGCTTTTCTTCACAATGCATTTGCTTCTTTTGCACATCAATTTAAATCTGTGCTCACTGGTTCCTGATCCATTTACAATGAGAACAGTTTCTCCTTATATATTCATCCTTAGGTAGCATCTACAGGACAACGGAAGATAGATGGGTCCTAAATATTCACACTAATTGATACAAAGTGTATAGCATTTAAAGCAGACAGGAGATTTTAGTCACAGAAACAGCCGCCAGCATCTACTGCCAGAGGATCATAAGAGACTGTCTTTCTCTGGATATTTGGCAATATTACTCTGATAGATTTGAATAATTTCTAATTATTTCTAATAATTTGAATATTTGGCAATATTACACTAATAGAAGGGATGTGTCTCTGGTTTTACATATCATATGGTCTGTACTTATTCAAAAACGTCAAAAAAAGGCTTTAAAATGATAACTGACATAGAAGAGAGATAAAGTTTATCACTTCATTATTTGATGTCACATTTTAGTGCTATAATTAAATACATAATCTTGATACTTAGGTCTCTGACTAAGGTAGCACCTCTTGCCTTGAGCATTTGTGCAACACAGCAGTTAAGTTCACATATCATTACAAAAGGCTGAGAGTTAAATTGTGAGCAAATTGAGGAACATGCAGCTGTATAACAGTGTTCTTGCTTGGCAGCTGCTAAACACTAACTTATGCTATTGCCCTATACAGCCAATCGCTTACCGGAGCGGGAAAAAAAAATTCAGCAAATTAGTCAATTCCACCTCCTCAATTTAAGGCAGCTAGTACTTTATATTGTAGCAGTGATGATTGACGTTTTCTTTATTGTATTGCTAAAACATATCACTAAAAGTTACTGATGAAAAGAAGTATTGTTAATTAGATAGAAAGAGAATCAATATGCAGCAACAACACACCTTTCTCTCCTAAATAGGTCAACCAAAAGTATAGTCCTATTTTGTTAAAAGCTCTGTTTATATATTAAGACTATTTAAATTCTAAAATATTTTCCTTGAGAGTTCTTTAGAATTCACCAACTCCATTGCACTTACGAAATAGGGGAGGTGGTAGTGGTGGCAATCATAGGCTAATGGGTTCTTCCTTGTTTGCCCTTTCCAGTTAGAAGAACAAACCGAACAATTGAGAAGCAGACAATCATGCCAATGATTTGGCCAGTGCACAATGAAATTTAGCTATTAGGGGCTTTGTGTTACCTCAGTCCTGAGTTCAAGCTTTGAAAGCAACAGCTAAATTATCTGCTTATCATTAGCTTTCCTAGTTATGGTTAATTAATTAGGCTACAATACTTTATCCCTTGTAAATAAAATCTCCTGACCACTTCTCGAATGGCTCATTCTGAACAATCCTTTCAAAAAAAATGTTTTCAAGGTATTAATATTTGCGATATTGTCCCAAATTAAATAATAGCATTTCACTTCCAGAAGGAATAATTATTTGTAAAATGTTAATGCCTCACATTGTCTAAATTCCTCTGCAGAATGTGGTGGTTTCCCCTAATAAAAGGGTGGGGGTGGGAATTGTTTGGGGGGAGGCTTGACCTGCATTATTCATGACCCAGGCCACCAGTTATGTGCTCCTGTCTACTTCACTGAACTTCAACCTCATCCAAAGGGGTGCAACAGCAGTGGGTTATGAGTGCATTAATCCATGCACCCACAACAACTTAACCCACAAACCTGCACATTAAGCACCTTAAGGCACCTTACACAGCTTAAGCTGTGATGGGTAGGTTGGGGGTGGTGACTGAAAAATAAATCCAAAGAAGGTTAAAAGAGTTGAACAATGGAAGGGTTTAGGCAGGAAATTCCTGTCAATGCAATAAAGACAGCTTCAATCTTTACCACTAATTGTGCAGCTAGGTTGAGGGGTTAGGATTATGGTTGGAAGAGATTTAAAATGGTGCACCGGGGATGAAACCTTAAAGGATTTCAAAATGGAGACAAAGAACTTAACGTGTTGGGGGACAGGAAGCTAGAAGATATCAGTGAGAAAAAAGGTATTGTATTAAGTTTTAAACACTGGAGTTTATGAAGGGAGAAAGATAGGGGACCAGTTTGAAAGAAAGTGAAGAAAGTCAAGGTTATAGAAGAATTTCCTCCCTATGATGAGCGCTTTGGAAGAAATTCATACTTCAGAATAAGCAATTTCTTTAAATGGAACATTGCTGTTGCAGTCTAATTTACAGTAAGAAGAAAGACAATCAGCTTCCCATCGCAATCACACAGAGAGTGGGGAAATTTATACTATTTATTTGGATTAATAAAAAGCAAAGCATTTCTCTGAAATAATAATTTTTGCCATGTAATGTTTATAATTTCCCCTTTACTTTTAGATCCTCTTGTCAATCACATGGAGATGGTAACAGAGATTGTCGTCCCGACTGTGTTCACTCTTTGCATACTGCTGTGTGCTATATTACTGATGTTCCTTCTCCGGACGCAGTGAAAAATTCAGTGTGTTGTTAGGACATTACAATGCCAGATGTACAAGGACAAAAATAGATGTCTAACTCCTTCAACAAGTTTAAATTACAACAGTCTTTAATACTTGTCCACAGTCACCTCCAAAGATACCTTTGTTATTAAAGAATGAGATGATCCATTTCCGGGTCAGTAAAACTGCATTATAAACAAACTCAAACCACAAACCCCAATTATGACTCCATGGTTGAGATAAAGGTGCCCACAGCATGATAGAGAGATTCCATTTCTGATTCTTCCTTCCCTAATCACATAATACCCAATTGAAGTCTATATTATCAAGGTTTCACCACAGATTGAAGACATCAAATATTGGAAGTAAATAAGCTGTCTTCCAATAACACAATAGGTTCCTGCAGAAGAGGCATTTCATCAGTGCAACTGTTAAAAAAAACACAGGTACACATTGCCAGTAGGAACAATAAAACCCTTGGCCTGTGAGATGATAGAAAGCTATGAACTGGAGATCAGTCAGTTCATCAGAACATTATTTTTAAAATCCGTAACAAGTAGAAATATAGAAGCTACATAATTTAACCAACATTTAGACCAAACTGCAGCAGTTCCAAGTGGAACTGGCAATTTTTATTGGTGAATCATAAACAACTGTTATAAACTTGTTTGTTAGTTATACTATACACTTCTAGGTATAATTATCATCTTTATATGTAAAGGAAGTTTTGTTAATTCACTTAGTGCTACATTACTAATAGATATTAGAGTTATTGACAGTCAGATTTCAGGGACATTTATTCTGGCCTGGCTCAAATACAATGGACTTTGCAAGCCGGGATCTTGGACTATGGATATATATTTTGTAAAATAAATGTCACACAATCATTATTAGTTTTCAATTGATTCATTTCCCAACTTCTCAACAATAATACAATACAAACAAACAAAGCACAGTCAGAAATAGAACACTCAAAATATGTGTCACTTCAAATATTTTCAATTTAACTCACCGTGTTATTTATTTCCCTGAAATGGAATTTAGACGCTAACTTTAGTATAAAGTATTTTTAAAAAATAAAATTTGCAGTTGATTTAAAAATTACTGAATAATTACTGAATTGTGACAACTACTTGATTCACACACTGGATTGCTTACTGAAATTAATGCAAATGAAGTTGTATGGAATTGGAGTCTATTGTTAAGGATGGGTCTGCAGAGTACTTAGAGATGCATTGGGTTGAGCCAACACGGCTTTATCAAGAAGATGTCATGCCTGACAAATTTGTTTGAATTCTTTGAGAAAGTAACGATCAAATTAGACAAAGGGAGAGCCAATAGACATGATCTATTTGGAAGGCCATTGACAAGGTGCCGCACAGGAGGCTGCTAAACAAGATAAAAGGCCATGGTGTTAGGGACAAGGTACTGGCATGGATAGAGGATTAGCTGACTGGCAGATGGCAGAGAATGGGGACAATGGGGTCTTTCTCAGGAAGACAGCTGGTGAATAAGTTCGGCAGGGGTCAGTGTTGGGCCCAAAACAATTCACATTATACATTAACAATCCGGACAAATGAATGGAGTGTATTGTTAAGTTTGCAGATGACACAAAGATAGGTGGTGGGATAAATAGTGTGAGGGATCGGGGATGCTGCAGAAGGACTTGTACAGGATAGGAGGGTGGGCAAAGAAATGGCAGATGGAATACAATGTGGTAAAGTGTGAGGTTATGCACTTTGGTAGGGAGAATATAGGTGTAAACTACTTCTAAATGGGGAAAGGCTTTGGAAATATAAAGCACAATGGGACTTAGAGGATTCCTAGTTCAGGATTCTCTTACTGATATCATGGAGGTTCAGTTGGCACTTAGGAAGGCAAATGCAATGTTAGCATTTCTATCCAAAGACACTAGAACACAAGAGCAAGAGATTTCCTGTTGAGGTTGTGCAAGGCTCTGGTTAGACCGCACTTTGAATACTAGGAGCAGTTTTGGGCCCCCTATCTAAGTAAGGATGTGTTGATGTTGGAGGAGGTCTGGAAGAGGTTTACAAGAATGATCTGGGGATGAAGGGCCTGTCATATGAGGAGGGGTTGAGGATTCTAGTCTGTACTCTATGGAGTTTAGAACGATGAGGAGGGATCACATAGAAACTTACAGAACACAGAGAGGCCTGGATAGAGTGGATGTGGAGAAGATGCTTCCAGAAGTAGGAGAGACTAGTACGCAAGGGCAGAGCGTCAGAATGAAGGGATGACTCTTTAGAACTGAAATGAGGAAGAATTTCTTCAGCCAGAGGCTGATGAATCTGTGGAACTCATTTCCACAGAAGGCTATCGAGGCCAAGTCATTGAGTGTGTTTAATACAGAGATAGATAGGTTCTTGATTAGTAAAGGTATCAGGGTTACGGGAAGAAGGCAGGAGAATGGGATTGAGAAGCACATTAACCATGATTAAATGGTGGAGCAGATTCGATAGGGTGAATGGCCTAACTCTGTTCCTATAGCTTATGATCTTTGGACTGGTGCAGTACCAGGAGGAATGATCACCCATATTCTTACTTTTTGGCAGACAGGCGCATACAGAGATAGGAGGAGATTGCACCTTGCTAATTAATTTCACTGTCATGGAGGAAGACTGCAGGCAAGTTAAATACATGAACTGAAGAGTGAAAACAAAAGTAATCAACTCAGCACTCTGTTACTGGTTTCTAGATGGTACAGAAGATCTTCAAAGTGACCAATACCTGACTAGTGCTCTGCGATTGTGTTAGGCTAGTTAACGGCCCACAACCAAAAAAAGCTGGAATGTCACTGTTCATGTATCCTAACTGAGAGAATGGAGAAAGACAAATTTTACACACCTTTTCTCTTGAAAGTTTACATGAAATGTGCCTGACTGCAGCTTATCACTGTGTTGTAATAAATTGCCTCCTCATAATCATTATTCAAAGCTGTATCATCAACTGGCAGATCTTTGAAAAAAAAAAGCACAGGTAACAGGTATTAGTGATACTTTTATTTAAAGTAGATTTGAAACCTTGATTTGCGAATAACTCCACCTACTAGTTAGCACTCCATAGACTGTAAGGATAAAATGACCACAAATGTTTCAAATAAGAGTTTCAAACTCTACCTATATAACGCAATAGCCAGAAATCGATCAAAAACATTCAAATGAGCATTTTGCTTTTGTCTGAATACCAGGCATTATTTATATTTTGCAAGGAGGAATAGCACTGTTGGCTTAATCCAAGCTGTGACAAGCATGAAAGCCAGTGGTGAGAAAATGATTCAGTCAAGTAAATGTCCACATTTTTTTTTTTTTTAAAAACAGCAGCAAATATTTCTAGGGGTAGAAAAATGATAACAAAATATTCCACTCAGATTAGCCTGGGACTTTCAGGATAACTACATTTGCTCCAACACTATTCTAAAGACCAAGTGAGTGACTAGAAATTGAATCTGCAAATTTTGCAAGCTGTGTGGGTGAGATTTTAATTTGTCTAAAACCCATTTGTTTACACAAGGTTAAAAATCAGACCAATGGTACAAGGTGTACAAGTTGATGCAGCCAGTCGGCTGCTTTTGCTCACACTCAACCATACTATAGGAGATTCACTGCGTTGGTCATCTTGTTACAACACTGGAAGCGAGAATTTTTGTTAAGTAAAGGTTTTAAGGATTACCTAAGGTAGTGTGGGGTGTACGAAACGTCAGCCTTCCTGCTCCTCTGATGCTGCTTGGCCTGCTGTGTTCATCCAGCTCTACACCTTGTTATCTCAGATTCTCCAGCATCTGCAGTTCCTACTATCTTGGAAACAGTTTGGCGTGATACTAAGTAAGTTGGGGCAAATGGCCTACTACCCTTTCAATATTTATTTGACATGGAATACTTATCTTGTAAGATTTCCATAGTTTTCACTGTGGCCCAAACTAGCCATCAAATGAAAGGTCAGCCAGCCTGAATAGTAAACACACAATTTAATACAAATTCTGGCTAAAAGAATACCAGGCCGATAACGTCAGGACCAAGAAAAGTAAATATTCCTTAGGAATTTGACTGTATAAGTGGAAAATACCTGCGGTATTAAATGTCACGTGATCCACTGGTGGCCTAGTGTTGAGTTGCCATACTGTCTTTAATTCTCTCTGCCCGTGGTAACTAATAATCTCCATTCTCCACATGATGGGGTGCTCACTGGAACAAAAGAAGCTAGTGTCATCAGAAAATCCCTTGTAAATATTAAAAGAGCTGCCAGCAATTTTACCACATCCCATATTTTAATAATTTAAGGTTTAATATTTTAAAATCTTTAGGAAACGGTTAGAGGGATATGGGCCAAATGCAGGCAAGCGAATGAATGATTTTATTGTCACGAGTATTTTAGTGTCAAAAAGAGCAAAATACAGTGAAAAACTTTTCCACTGTCGCCATGGCTAGTGCAGTTTAGGAAACATGATTGACATGAATGAGTTGAGTCAAAAGGCCTGATTCCCTGCTACGTGATACGATTATGACTCTATAATCAAGGGCATGCAATCTTTTGGAGAAGGGTCAAATACTCATGCCACAACTAGTGGGTGGGTCATGCATGATTATAACACTGGATCAGGCAAAATCATAACTAGAATCTTAAAGCATTCAAACATTCCAGGATTTGAATGTACTGACTGCACTGTGTGCATAGTTGTTCATGGACACTCAAAATACTAGAACACAAGACAAAACAAAAATCAAATATGAACAAAAAGCAGAAGTCAGCCAGTCAGATCCTATTTCACCACTTAATAAGTTGCTGGCTTATCCACTTGTAACCGTAAACCATTATTACCACCTACCCTGATAACATTTTACCCTTTGCTTACCAAGGATTTATCCACCTCTATCTTAAAAGTATTTAAACACTTTGCTTCCACTGCCTTTTCAAGAAGAGAGTTCCAAAGACTCATTTCCCTCAGAAAAAAAAATTGCACTAGTTTTAGAGATCTCGTAACCATGACAAAAATTGAAACCAAACATTGATTTACTTTATATCCCCTCCCAAATTAAAGCTTCATTTATAAATACAGACTCCAACACATTAACTGGTTGGCTGCACACTCATCATTCTATCTTTAGCTGGCTCATGCTCCCTACATTTGAATAACAAGTTCTGCCAATGTTATGCTTGTGTTCCATTGATCTTTCTCATCATCCAGTTTGGTCTGATCTGTCATTGACCAATGCCATTCACCACCATCTTTATGCTCTTTTCTGTTTGGCACTTACCTTCCTGTACTTGATAATGTTATTATCTTTTATCCCCAACATTCTCCTTGCCCCCTTGACCCTAACTTCAAGATTTTTTGTTTCCTTTATTCCGGCTTAATGAGCACTCTGTGTTTTTTAAATACAGTGAAATGTTACAAACCTGTGGTGTGTATTCAACTTTTTCGGTAATTTTTTTCCAAATAGGTAATGTGCAACTGTGAATACATTTACGACATTTTAGTTATGAACCTTACTTCTCATAGAAAGCATTGATGGTTGTGGGTCTGATTGGCAACTGAAAAACATGCTGTTCATCAAGTGGATTATCTTTGTAGTATCGCAAGCATGACCTGTCACCAAAAAGAGATTGTACAACTTTTAAAATAATGAATGAAACAACAAGAGAAATCACTATCA